CCCCGGGGCTCGGCTGGCGGCCCTCAGCGCTGTTTTCTCCCCCCCCGCAGGCTCGTCGCGGTTTACTCCAGCCGTTACACAACACGCCCCGTTTTTTAAAGGAACGGCCGTTGTTAACGGGGAGTTCAAGGAGCTGAGCCTGGATGATTTCAAGGGGAAATACCTGGTTCTCTTCTTCTACCCCCTGGACTTGTGAGTGCGGGTTTCTCCCCTTTCGCATGGGCCTTCTGCTTTGCTGAAGGTCATCAGAAGCGCTGCAGATCACCGCTGTCTGAAGTGGCAGTTTTTACCTCATTTGGGGTAGTCTTGCAAGGCAGATATGTCTGTTTCTAGAGTGTGAGAGATAAGACTTGGGGGCAAACGGCCACTGTGTTTTAAAGCAATGGATCTGGTGGCTGGAGAGCATCTTCTAGCTGCTGGGACTGCTTCAGAAGTGGCCTTGCAAGCGTGGTTCCCCTTACAGTCAGATCCCAGGGGTGAGGGCATTGCCTTGCAGCGTGGGGTCACGTTGGAGACTCTCTCCTTTTAAGCAGCTGGGCCAGCAGAACTGCAGCTGGACGGCTCCAAAGCGAAAGGTGAACAGATGGGGCTGCGCCTGTCCAGAAGACTTGAATCACCAAGAGCATCCTGGTGTATTTGGGCATGTGGGGGAGGATTTAACTTGCAGTCCTTTCTGCTATAGCTTCCAAACACTCTCTGTCTAGAGAGTGTCTAGCAGAGACAGTTTCTCCATCTTTCCAAAGTCTGTCTAGAACTGAGTTGGAAACCGGTATGCCAGTGAGGTGGCTATGGCTGTTGCTTTGAGACTGACGGAAACTAATTTTGAGCAGGAAACATGGTTAAAGTTATCAGGCTAAAGAAAATGCTCTGTTGCGTTAGTGCCTAGAAACAGATACAAGAGTCTTTTCTAAAAAATTCTGTGAAAAGATTGCAGAATCATTACAACCTGTTCTCTCTTCCCACCCAGCACCTTTGTCTGCCCCACAGAAATTGTGGCTTTCAGCAACAAAGCAAATGAATTTCATGATGTGAACTGTGACGTGGTGGCAGTTTCTGTGGATTCTCATTTTTGTCATCTGGCCTGGATAAATACGCCACGAAAGGTACGAATTGAGCAGCTGTTTGGGGCTTTCTCTGTTGGTTTGTTTTCTTTTCACAAGAGCTCCTGAGAAGAAGAGTTGAATAAACAATTGTGAAAACACCAATTTCTGTAGACTGCCTAAAGTGATACGTGAGGTGATTGACTTCTACCTTTGATGACATAAACAAAGATTGAGGTCAGAATTTCTTGCTCTTTAATATTTGTGGGGTTTTTCCATCTTTGTTTTGCTTTCTTAATAGTCTTGTAGGTTACATCATATTGTTGTATGTTTATCATGAAAGACAAATACTCAGTATACATGTCACCTGAGCTGCTTGTTACAGCTGATGGTTTGTGTGCACCATCACAGAAAATGAACAGCAGCTGTTAGTCATTATTGTTAACCAATACCTAACAGCGGTGGCTTCAGAATGGAAGCAGAATAATAACCAGTTTGTTGGAGCACTGGTATTATTAACTCTTACTTGCTGAAATGGTTCTGCTTTTGCAATACAAACGGATGTCCTCAGCTTTTTTCAGGGAAAGAAAGTGATAAAGACGGCCTTTTACTGGAGAGGAGCCTCCTTCAGATATATATAAAAATACGTGCTTTTGATCACGTAAAGCATCTCACTAGTTTGGTTAGTTGTAGAGAGTCAGAAGCATCACAGGAAGGTGCAGAAGCGCCTGAGCTATCAGTCGTTACCCATGGGGTTGTGCGGGCAGCAGTCTGCAGCAGTGCTTGCAGACTGGGGTGCCTTCAGGTGCATAGCTCTGCTGTTGTAACATATACGGGAGGGAGAAGAGTTTCCTAGATTCAGTACGGCTTGGCTGAGCCTATCAAGAGTATTTAATTTTCTGTGTCCTTTGTTCAAAGCTCTAAAATGTGATTGTGGACTGACTTCACCGCTTTATGCGAAAGCTCTTCAGTGTATGCCACTGCTTGGTGCATGTGTAGCAAAATGCCCTGCGAAGGGTGGAAAGAATTCCATGGTGGCGCAGACAGGAAACCAACACCCGGAGAAACTAAGGCCTTGGTTTCTCCGACATCTGTGTTCAAAGCTCTGTGTATGAGAACTTGATTGCAGGCAAGTGTTTGCAGGATCAGGGTCTGAGTGACTGAGATTACACAATGATTCACTGATGATGCCAGGAATAGAAAAGCTAACAAACTCCGGGCTTGTTTCAAGGATAGAGAGCTTATCTCTCTCACAGTTCCACTATGTTGCAAAACTGAAAGAAATCTTAGTTGACTCTCCAAATAGTATTTAAATTGATTTGGGGGAGGAAAAAAAAAAAAAGTACATACAGTATATAGAGAGCAGAAGAACTCTGACATGCCTAGTGTGGCTGTTAGAAGCCTTGAGTTTTGTCTGTTCATAGTACACAGGTTTGTTTTCCCTTCTCTCCCCGCCATATTCATCTTGTTTAATTTTGAACACTTAAATATGCAGTAGAAATTCTTGTATTCAAAGCTCCTGAATAGGGTACAAGGGAAATCTTCCTGAAAATTTGACTGTTATCATATGTAGTTTTTTACCACCAAAATATGCAATTCTAAAATGCTTGGTGCAAAAGAAGTTTTCATGTACTACAGAAGCCAAATGTGCCTGACTAGTTTTAAAAAAAAAAAAAAAACAACAAACCAAAACCAGCCAAACAACAACCCCCCCCAACCCCCTGTGGTTCCTTTCATGGAGCAAATGGCATGAATATGTTTTGTCGTTAGTATGTCTTCAAGAGCACTGTATCCAGCAACTCCAGAAAGACAATCCTAAAAAGCATTTTGTAACAAAATGGAATCTTACTTTGTCTTCTAGAGCGGCGGTTTGGGCAAAATGAATATTCCAGTTCTGTCAGACCTCACAAAACAAATCTCCCGTGATTATGGGGTGCTACTAGAAGGACCGGGCATAGCACTAAGGTAACACATGATTGCCAATAACTCAAGTTACGACACAGCCCAGCCTAAAACAACCTGAGCCGTACTGTCCCCTCCTGCAGGGGAAACTGCACAAGGATCAAATGAAGACTGCAAGATGTTACTTTTTCTGCAGAACTTCTGCTGGATCCCACCCTAGGAAAAGGGCACATGGCCATTATGGCCATTAAGTTGAGGGTGGTTCCAGGCCTCTCTGAGAATGCATGCAGGGGAAGGCCAGCTATTCTGCTCTGAGTGAGTGGGAGAGCTCTGTGTCACTAAGGAAAACAAGAGTAGGATAGAAGACCATTGTACAATTTTTTACATTTTTTCACAATTTAGGTCTGTCCCTTTTTTATGTTTGTTTTCTTTCTTCTGAAGGGAGAAGAGACTGCCTTAATTCCTGTGTAAGAAGTTTCTAAAGTGGTTGTCCTAGAGGCCACTACAGTCAATCCCATAATTATCTAGAATAAAAAAATTAACATTTCCTTCTCCACTATGGGAATACTTATTAAAAGGAAATAGTGGTCCCTGAGAAACACTGCATTGGGTAGGAGTCTTCTGGAGACCTTCGGTTCCTGATCTCTTTGAGTCAGGAACTTCTGACATTTGTTTGTTGACAAATTAAGTTAATTAGTATGGTACGACTGGGACTTTTGTTTTTCACAAATGTTTATATGCAACAGGATTTAATTTAGTAGCTTAATGCATAAGCAGCTCTTCACTCAATACCTTCAGATTTTCCTGTCAAAAAGACAGGGGAAAGATGCCAGCTATCAACTTTGAAACATAGGTGGAATTAGAAGTTATACCTTTGTTATACATCTGTCTCAATTTAATAGTCTTTATGAATACTTTGTAATTTCACGACACCATACCAGTTGACTGGTTCTTGGCTTTTGATCACTTCACTAACAAACAATATTGTCAAATGCTGTATTGCTACTCCTAACTCTGATACTTGCATCTAAGAATAACTACCTTGCTGAAATAGTTCATCCAGTTTCTTGTGTTTGCTCTTGGAACATGATTTGCATTCCCTAAATTCTTGCTCAATTACAGAGGTCTCTTCATCATTGATCCAAATGGGATCATCAAGCATCTGAGTATCAATGATCTCCCCGTCGGTCGCAGCGTGGAAGAGACCCTCCGTTTGGTGAAAGCATTCCAGTATGTGGAAACACATGGAGAGGTTTGCCCGGCAAACTGGACTCCAGACTCCCCTACAGTAAGTGTCTGCTAAATATCACTTTTCTAAATATAGACACTGGCATGTTTCTCATGTCTGAAGGGCTGACAACTACTTTTAAGATGAGGTGCTTGACTGAATCTGTGCCTGTTGTCTAAATCTGAGGCTTTTATCAGTTGGACCAGTTCAGTCTATTTGTATGATACTGAGTGAGTCATTCCTGTGAAGAAAGTCACCGATTTCTTTTTAGAAGGCACGAATTGTATTCAAAACTCTAAATTTGACTTGCACTATCCACCAGTTGTCTTCAGATTTCTTACTTATTTAATACCCTTCTGGATATTTAGCAGGAAAAACGTGTCATATACTTGAAATTTGCAAGCAGGAGCTTGTACATCATTTAGGCTTTCATCTTGCAACCAAGTGCAGAAACAGAAATAACCTATTGTTTTTATAAAGTATGCATGGATTTTCTTGGATAAAGTGTTAAATCTGTAATTTTTTAATCTTAGTTATAGCATATAATAACTAAACTTTTGTTTCTTGACAGATCAAGCCAAGCCCAGAAGCTTCTAAAGAATATTTTGAGAAAGTGCATACATAAACGCTCAAATATGTGGACAAAACTCTTAGTTACCATAAACTGAAGACATCAGGAAGGCAGCTGTGATTGTATGAAAAAAAAAAAATCAAATCAAAGGTCTCATTTTCTCATGTTTAAGAAGAAATTAAATGTTGAAATATTTACTGACTCCCTTGTCTTGCTTTAAAAAGAAGGCTAAAAACTAAGGCTTCTCCCTTCACCCCCCCCCCCCCCTTTTACCCTCATCTCACCCTA